CCGCCCCATCTTTCAATGCCTAACTATGAATAATAATGTCATGAGGGCGAATAGATTCGTAACAGCGGCACTATCAGTAACAGTCCCGGTATGAATTAACAGTTTCACCCTTCCCATTGTCCGCGGAAAATACATGTATCCACGATTCACTAAGCTTGCTATCCGAAGAGAGACACAGCTACAGGATTACGTAGGTGAAGTGGATTTTGTTATTTGTTTTAACGCTTATCCACTGCTGTTTTACACACATTCACACACACACACACACACACACACACACACACACACACAGATAGACAGATACACACATACTCTCACACACACACACACATAAACTCACACATACACACGTGCGCGCACACACACACAGATAGACAGACATACACACATACTAACACTCACGCACACACATACTTGCACGCACACCCACAAACACACACGCACACACAGACACACACAGACACACACAGACACACACAGAAACACGGACACACATTCACACACACACACACACACACATACGCACACACACACACACACAAACACACACACACACACACACACACACACACACACACACACCACGTTAGACTGCCAGTGTGCATTTCTATCTTTGTGAATGTGTCAGCAACAGTTTATCTAGTGATTCATACTTGAGGTAGGTTCATTGTGTCTCGTTATAAGACACGCCTCAGTGACCGTCTACATTATCCAGTTCTTTGCTTTGAAGGTCGTGAGGTCGTGCGTAAGGTCATCGTTTCTGACTGTAGGATACACCCGAATGGCTCCCTGACCTCCCGCACATACGCTGTGTCACCAACATTGGACGATGTAGAAATTTCTGTCACCTTAAAATTATGATATTTCTGGGTCTGGGCAGTTTCACTAAGGGGTGAAATTGAGGAGATAGAGGACGGTTGGAAGATGCCACTGGTAGGTTCTACTTCGTTTCGTTCTCTCTATTATATCTGTCTGTTAGTTTTGTTTTTTTGTTGGTTTTGTTTTTTTGTTTTGTTTTTCTCTGAATGAAGTAGATCTAAATCTAGGTCTAGACCATTTTAGAGTGTGGATGTTCCTCTCTTTCTTATAACTAACAAACAAATCACGAGTGGACCATTATAATACTATTTTCTCGTTGTCGACCCCCACCCCCACCCCCACGCTCTCTCTCTCTCTCTCTCTCTCTCTCTCTCTCTCTCTCTCTCTCTCTCTCTCTCTCTCTATCTCTCTC